TTTTATAAACGATCTCCCACTTCATGTCATTAAATGTCATACTGATCTTTTTGCTGATGTCAGTACCCTTCACTTCTATAGCAACAATCTAGCTAATATAGAGATTGCCCTTCGAGAGGATTTACTAAATGTATTTAATTGGTGTAATGATAATGGTATAGTAATAGGTGTGCCATATGCTGCCATTTTGTTGTCTAAGAAAAAGAAAAAATAAGGTTTTCCCCACTAATTAAAAGATCTGTCACAAATACAATGGGCCTATGCAAAACCGTAGGTTACGTTTTTTGTAACAACCTCAAACAAAATGATGTTTCCTTGAGAAAAAAAAAACGAATGTGGATAGGTTTTAATACTTTTAACGGCTTTTGAAAAACGTCTGTGACGCTCCGGTTATCACCGAAATAAAAAACGACGTCAAAATATTTATTTATTCATCGTTGTAATCAAAGTTCGAGGTATTTTCTGCGGATGTTTCAAAACACTAACAATAAATATTTTAATATGAATGTTTAGCAGTAGTTTCATATTTTTTAATAATGACCTTGTGGTTGAATAAAATTACTATTTTCATTGCTAAATACTTCTTAGAAAACTTTTAAATAGTTTTCCGTTGCGTCAAAGAAATTAAAACCTGTGTCATGTCATATCATTTTGTTCGCCTTGATTTAAACTTTCTTCTTATACGAAAATAAAGCTAGCATATCAAATCGAACATTAGCGGAATTTCCGTAAAAGGAGTGGGGTGTCCCATGACGTCAGTAAGAAGTTCCCCGGAATTTGACGTTGCGACAGACACTAAAAAGAATTTTTGGATGGACTCCTGCAGATATAACATCTATAATTGATAGAAATTAGAATAAGGGTAATATTTTCATTAAAATTAATAAAAATAAAGTATGAAATTGGATCATTGTAAATTATCTATAAATAGGGGTTTCAGGTCATGTGACTTTAGTGTGAAATCGGACAGCCACCGGCTGAAATATAGCCCACTTCAATCTACGATTCTGAATTACTATTTTATGTAAATGCAATACTAGCAATTGAATTGTAATAGTTTAATATCAATCTCAATATCTGCAAAGATTTAGATTAAAAATTATTGAAATGTTAGCGAAATTACCGTTTGTTTACAGGAGACGCTCGCGGGAAAAAAACGCTCTGACGTCACGAGATTTGACATATTATCATTCAAATTATTATGATTTTAATAAATCTTAGCTGACAATAGCGTGCGGTTTTTAGTTATTATATAAAAAGTAATGGAAAATTTGAGGTTTTTTTTACATTAAAATTTGAATTTATGAATATGTGTGAGCATACAAAATGTAGATAGATTTGTAAATAGTTTAACTGATACACAGTTAATGTTACTATTATTTATCAAGTTGTGTTTTACTGAAATCTGATAAATTATATATTTAAATATTTATATGTTTAAATGTTATAAGATTAATTCAAACATGGTCAAAGTACTTCTAACCAGCGGCTGCCAGGCAGGATACGCCCACATTTTCGAGAGATGGAAGAAAGTGATTTTTTGTACAATCAGAGGCCATAATTCAGGAAGTTACGGTCCGATATGCGCGAATATCAAAGGAACCAAGATTTTTGGGTTATAAACTTACATTTCAAGTTTCAAAAAAATCGGATAAAAATTTTGACCTCTATAGGTTCCACAACCTTGATATACCATATTTTTACGCTATTTGAGAACGAAGGGCGGCCATTTTGTCTGTCAATTTTGGACCGATTTTCACGAAATTCGAACTCAGTCGTCCTTAAGATCTAACGGTGATATAATAATACGTTTTTTTAAATCGGATAAAAATTATGACCTCTATGGGGTCCACAAGCTAAAATTGCGATTTTTCGTACAATCAGGGGCCATCATTCAGGAAGTTACGTTCCGATATGCGCGAATATCGAAAGGAACCAAGATCTTTGGGTTATAAACTTACATTTCAAGTTTCATCAAAATAGGATTAAAATTGTGACCTCTATAGGGTTCAAAACCTTGATATACCATATTTTTAAGCTATTTGACAACGAAGGGCGGCCATTTTGTCTGTCAGTTTTAGGCCGATTCTCACGAAATTCGAACTTAACCGTCCTTAGGGTGTAAGGTGTTATAATAATACGTTTTTTTAAATCGGATAAAAATTATGACCTCTATAGGGTCCACAAGCTAAAAACACGATTTTTCGTACAATCAGGGGCCATAATTCAGGAAGTTACGGTCCGATATGCGCGAATATCGAGAGGAACCATGATCTTTGGGTTATAAACTTACATTTCAAGTTTCAAAAACATTGGATAAAAATTATGACATCTATAGGGTCCACAACCTTGATATACCATATTTTTACGCTATTTGAGAACGAGGGGCGGCCATTTTGTCTGTCAGTTTTGGGCCGATTTTCACGAAATTCGAACTCAGTCTTCCTTAGGCTGTAACGGTGATATAATAATATGTTTTTTTAAATCGGATAAAAATTATGACCTCTATAGGGTCTACAAGCTAAAAACGCAATTTTTCGTACAATCAGGGGCCATAATTCAGGAAGTTACGGTCCGATGTGCGCGAATATCGAAATGACCCGAGATCTTTGGGATATAAACATACATTTCAAGTTTCAACAAAATCAGATAAAAATTGTGACCTCTATAGGGCCCACAACCTTGATATACCATATTTTCACGCTATTTGAGAATGATCGGCGGCCATTTTGTCTGTCAATTTTGGGCCGGTTTTCACGAAATTCGAACTCAACCGTCCTTGGGGTTTAACGGTGATATAATAATAGGTTTTTTTAAAACGGATAAAAATTAAGACCTCTATAGGGTCCACAAGCTAAAAACGCGATTTTTCGGACAATCAGGGGCCATAATTCAAGAAGTTATGTTCAGATATGCGCGAATATCGAAAGGAACCGAGATCTTTGGGTTATAATCATACATTTCAAGTTTAAAATAAATCAGATAAAAATTGTGACCTCTACAGTGTTCACAAGCTAAAAACGTGATTTTTCGTACAATCAGGGGCCATAATCCATGAAGTTACAGTCCGATACATGCCAATATCAAAAGGAACCCAGATCTTAGGGTGATAAACCTATATTTTAAGTTTCATTGAAACCGGATAAAAATTGTGACCTGTAGACTGTTCACAAACCATTGTGGATGGACGTCCAGACGGACGGACGGGGGTGACGACAATATACGTCCACATGAAAATTTGGGCATATGAAAATGAATCAGTATGGTTTTTACCAGATTACCCATGCACTGCACAGCTGTATTAACAAAAACACAATTTCGTTGCCATGGTAACCAAAAGGAGAAATTGGAATATTCAGAGAGAAAAAATAATGTTTTTTTTCAAAGAGATCAGCCTGAGAAACCCCTAAGTAAGTATTTTCACTGCAAAATTCTATATACTAAAGAAATGATGACATATGCGCATATTAATTAGCTGTACTTAGTCATTTTCGCAGAAGGACATTAAAAAAATAAGCCTTTATAGTAATAAAAACAGTCGTGTAATTTTAAGTAAACAAACCTCAACTTCTGTTTTTGTAATTTTATTTACAACATATACCACAAATAATTGAAAGCATGATATAATTTGGATTACTGATGATTTATTTAAAATTTATTGATGATAAATTTAGCTAACCAGCGAGCGGCTGCCAGGCAGGATACGCCCACATTTTTGAGAGATGGATAGAGAACAAAATGATTTTTCCTACAATCAAGGGCCATAATTCACGAAGTTACAATTCGATATGCGCAAATATCGAAAGGAACCAAGATCTTTGGGTTATAAACATGCATTTCAAGTTTCATCAAAATCGAATTAAAATTGTAACCTCTACAGGGTCCACAACCCTTGATATACCATATTTTTACACCTTTACCGTACAAGAGACGGCCACTTTGTCCGGCAGTTTTGGTTTGATATTCAGGAAATTTGAACTCAACCTTTATTATGGTGTTACGGTGATATATTCAAACGATTTTTAAAATCAGATAATAAGTGTGACCTTCAAAGGGACCACAAGCTAAAAGAGGCGATTTTTCGTATAATCAGGGGCCATAATTCATGAAGTTACGATCCGATATGCGACAATATCGAAAGGAACCAAGATCTTTAGGTTATAAACATGCATTTCAAGTTTCATCAAAATCGAATTAAAATTGCGACCTCTACAGGGTCCACAAACTTGACATATACCATATTTTTACACTATTCGCGTTCAAGCGGCGGCCATTTTGTCCGGCAATTTTGGTCTGATTTTCACGAAATTCGAACTCAACCTTCATTACGGTATAACGGTGATATAATCAAACGTTTTTTTAAATCGGATAATAATTGTGACCTTCAGAGGGACAAGCTAAAAAAGGCGATTTTGCGTACAATCAGGAGCCATAATTCAGGAAGTTACGATCTGATATGCGACAATATCAAAGGAACCAAGATCTTTAGGTTATAAACATGCTTTTCAAGTTTCATCAAAATCGAATTAAAATTGTGACCCATACAGGGTCCACAACCTTGATTTACCCTATTTTTACACTATTTGCGTACAAACGGCGGCCATTTTGTCCGGCAATTTTGGTCTGATTTTCCCCAAATTCGAACTCACTCTCCCTTAGGGTGTAACGGTGATATAATAATACGGTTTTTTAAATCGGACATTTACAGTTTATCTCTTTGCGATTGAAATGGGGCTGTCAGATAAGCCGCCCATATGAACTGTTTATGTACATGTGTAGGCAATTGGCCTGTTATTAAAATGCCTTGGAAAGCACTCCTTGTGGAAATTGTGCTATAGAAAAAATTTTCATAATAAAATTAAATTGCCCTTTTTTTCCATTCACTTGGCAAATCCTAGCAAAAAAACACTGAGGTCAATGATTTTGGATCAATACATTTGGACCACACAGTATTTTTTTACAAATTGTAGATTTTAAAGAATGAAATACATCAAGTTTACCTTTATGTTTATCTGCATTATATTGCAACTCTAGTGGTAGAGACTGACTCAGTAATTGAGTGTAAAAATCATTTTCTTTCTGAACTACTTTCTGTCGCCGCTGAAAAATAAACAAAACATATCTATTTATACCTGCATGTATGTTCAAAATATTGATTCGTAAAACAGTATACAAACACATGACGTTTTATACATCCACATTCATAATGTGGACGTATATTGCCGTCGCCCCTCTGTGTGTGTGTGTGTGTGTGTGTGTGTTAGCAGATACATTTTTTCGAGGACATTTGATGGGATACACACCGATAATTAGAGGACAACCGTCAATTCAGGGACCAAAATTGGTCCTCGAAATTTTAGACCTTTGTTTTCGTATGACCGATGTCTAGGTCATATGGTATGTTATTATTTTTTAATTCTGTTTTAAATTTCAAATTTTAATATTCATTAATGCTTGTTAAATTGTTGCTGTTAATTATTTGGTCCTGAAATAAAGTGTTATATGGTGGAGAAAGCGGGCAGAGTAAACAAAATCGTCTACTCTTGATTCCGGTACAGCTAAGCGAGATATATTGTAAATATATTTGGAAGAAGGGATGGATATTAACTTTATTCTTCCTTCAGCAGCAATAGCAGCAATAAGAAATCTGAATCAACTAACAATGTCTTAGAGTCTCAAACAGGATAGGGGTTCTACACAAATCAGCTTTAAATGGGGCTTCTCAGAAAATTTATTACCCAGTTCAGAAAAGAAATATTGTTCTTTTGACAAAAGAGAAAGGGACAGACAGCGACAGCTAGAACTTTTTGCTAAGAAGGATGCCCAAAAAGTACAGATTTCTGTTGTCTCCAGTAAAAAGGATGTGGATGTTCAAAATGTTCCTGATACTAAAGATGTGGCTGTTGGGAATAACCCTGTGTTAATGGTGACAAGAGAAACAATGAGTCATCTTGCCAATAGCCATGATAAAGGTTGTCAAATAAATTTTGACAGTGAGGCTGCAATGAAAGATGTTTCCAGGTCTAGTGCCAAAAGTACCAGCAGTCAAGACCATCGACATGTAGGAATATGTTTAACAAATCCACCTGTACAAGTATCCGACAAAGTGCTTAGACAAAGAGTTAAGAACACAAAACAAGAATATCTCATTCAGTGGAAGAATTGGGTTCTGGAGGAGGAACTAGATTATAGTGCTCAATAATACATAAATGCGAATTCAAATAGAATACAAGGACCCAGATTACATTTACCTGATGAAAACGTTAACCAGTACAATATGCAAGAACATCACTTTAGGCTAGTGCTGGCACGATATATCGTTGAATCTATGTATCGCGATTTACCGTCTCACCATAACTGTATTGAATCGCGGGATGCCGAATCGATTTTTCACGATTCTTTTTTGCGTTTTCTCAAATATATTATGAACTTTAAAACTTTAAATTATACCCTAAACTTTATTTGAAACAATGACACTTCGCAAACGATGTACAGTAGTCTTGACATGTGTGTTACTATAAATAGCGCACAACCGTAATTACCGTTAGTTTCGTATGTTTAGATTAACAACATTTTAACGCCTTTTCCTTTTGTTTCCGAATTTTAAAGTTTGTTATAAGGCTTAGTTAATAAAACATACATATTTAAATACATAAAACGACATTTACTCTAGAATTTTATAAATTTAGAACGTAAATATAATAGATAGTAGCTCTTGTAAAAATAAAAATGGCAGAAAACACAGTCGCAATAACAAATCCTCCAGCGAAATATAAATCTAAAGTGGCGCTATTGCACTTTCGTACCTCTACCAGTTCCCGTGGTCGTAGGCACTTGAAATTTTCAGAGGATGTTAAGGGGGGCTAGCAATGACCACACACCGAATTTCAGCGGAATCGATCAATAACTTTTTATTTTACCGACTTTTTAATTTCTAACGAGAGAGAACTTCATCCGTTTGACGCCATTTGCTTTGTTTACTATTTAGACTAACAAGACACTAAGACGGAAACCGACACACTGCACTAGCTGCCTAACACTGCAGTTCATAAAAATTAATATAATTTTTGTATACTTAATTTTTGCGCGAAGCCACCATTTTCTATAAAATACTATTTGGTGTTTATCAGTGGATTGGCCTTTAGGTGTGAATATTGCCGTGACCTTGATTTTGACCTTGAGTCCAAACTTCCCATCCATATCGGAACCTTTGCGTTTATGCTTGCCGTGGCCTTATTTCTTACCGTATTATCAAAGTTAATGTTCGAGGTGAAAGCAGAGACGACGTCCTTCAGAAAAGATAATTGGGTCAAAGTCGTAGGTCAAGGTCATCTTACAGAAAACTAAACTCAAACTATTCAAAGTCATTTTTGGGACATTTGACCTTGACTTACGACCTTGACCCCGTAACCATTTTCGAAGGCTATCACCTTGGCTTGAATCATGGACGTTTACCTTGGTCCTGTCGCACATCGCTCGATCAGAAAACGGTCAAACGCAGAGGGGCCCATGTCCGAAAGGAAGTCAATGGGCGTGGTCAATGTGAAAGGTCGATGGTTCAAGCCAAGGTGATAGCCTCGAAAATGGTTACGGGGTCAAGTTCAAATGTCCCAAAAATGACTTTGAAAAGTTTGAGTTTAGTTTTCTGTAAGATGACCTTGACCTACAACTTTGACCCAATTATCTTTTCTGGAGGACATCGTCTCTGCTTTCAGCTCGAACATTAACTTTGATAATACAGTTAGAAATAAGGCCATGGCAAGCATACCCGCAAAGGGCCCGAGATGGATGGCCTTTGCGTTGTCACGTACAACCGTGTAATCGAAACCACGCCAGTTGACTCAATGACAGGCTTTATGATACAGCACGCTAACAATTCGGTGGTATGGCTATACAATAATATAAGTATTGCGTATTTGCGTTAATAATAAATGTCCCAAAAATGACTTTGAAAAGTTTGCGTTTAGTTTTCTGTAAGATGACCTTGACCTACGACTTTGACCCAATTATCTTTTCTGAAGGACGTCGTCTCTGCTTTCACCTCGAACATTAACTCTGATAATACATTAAGAAATAAGGCCACGGCAAGCATAAACGCAAAGGCCCCGATATGGATGGGAAGTTTGGACTCAAGGTCACGGCAATAGTCACACCTAAAGGCCAATCCACTGATCAACACCAAATATTATTTTATAGAAAATGGTGGCTTCGCGCAAAAATTAAAGTATACGAAAATTATATTAATTTTTATGAACTGCAGTGTTAGGCAACTAGTGCAGTGTGTCAGTTTCCGTCTTAGTGTCTTGTTATTCGAGTCTAAATAGTAAACAAAGCAAATGGCGTCAAACGGATGAAGTTCTCTCTCGTTAGAAATTAAAAGGTCGGTAAAATAAAAAGTTATTGATCGATTCAGCTGAAATTAGGTCATTGCTAGCCCCCCTTAACATCCTCTGAAAATTTCAAGTGCCTACGACCACAGGAACTGGTAGAGGTACGAAAGTGCAATAGCGCCTCTAAAGTTTGGGAAAACTTTGGGTTTTTAAAAGGTGACACAACGAAAGTTGTTTGTAGAATATATGCAAAACTATTCTAAAATATTGTGGTAATACAACCAATCTCGGCACTCACTTGACAAGACACCATAGTGGCGACTGTCTAAGTTCGTCTGCTAAGATTAAGAAGACGACCAGTTAACCCTGCGGTGAAGTTCAAGCTTCATTAAAAACACAATTACATATTTAATGTTTTATTGATAAATCTATGACCTAGTTATGAATCGCGATACGTATCGTATCGTGGCACATGAATCGCAATACGTATCGTATCGTGACTGCAGTCGCGATACCCAGCACTACTTTAGGCCTTACAGGAATCCTATGTACAAAAATAGAAATTATTATCATGAAAATAGTGATAGATTATGTTACTTTGATTAATTGAAAAATAAGGATTTTGATTTTATTAATGCTTAAAACCAGTGATGGGATTTTGCCCGTATATTCCGGACTTGTCCGAATCTTTTTTCCAAACGCCCAAAATTGTCCGACCGGGAATATGCCCAATCGGACATCAAGACATGGTGAATAATATTCAAAATTCCGAAATTAATATAGTTTACTGAGTGTATAACTACCACTCAACCCGATTATCGTCGATAATACGCTGGGTTTATTAGGTAATTAAGTGATCAACATATTTATCGTGTTATACCGTCTATAGTATAAATAAACCTACCTTGATTTAACTACTTAATCTGCCTTGATTGACTGACTTAATCCTTTGTCAGACAATTCATCAATCTAAGCCTAAACAGAAGTCATTGCTTTCCTTTTGTCGGACTATTCATCAATTCAATAAGAATGATTATAATTTTAATCCACCTGTTTACCTCGTGGTTTCTCATTTCTCATCTTAATCGCATTGATGTGAGCCGACATCATCTATAATAAACTAATCATAGATGTCACAAATCGTAAGAGTAAATAACACCCTAAATCAATGGACAGTCATTTTGTCTACAATATCTTTTACGTCTTTTAAGAATCCATATAGAAATTCTCATCCACAGTGGCACTTTCCCTTGATCTCGAGCGCGGCACGAATATTGCTTAACATATTATTAGGCAGTGCTTACTATGAAGCCGTGTGATATGAGTCACGTAGGCTATTAGTCTCTATTATCCAGAAAAATATTCTACGAATATGTTGAAGACTAGGAGTTTCTGGGTGACCGAGACTAGTACGCACCCAGCAAAATAACAAAAAGGTGAGGGGCTACCAATAGCTATATGGGCAGAAATTCTAACGTATTTGTAGGCGGGAATTAAGAAGCATGTCAATCATTCTGCTGTGTTGCCTATGATGCCTGTCACTCTGTCGTGACTGTGAAAGAGTGTTATTCGCTGAAGTTAGCTATGCCTGTTTACAAGTGATTTAACTATTTCGGAAGTTCTGCATTCATTTGCTGCCGTATAAACGAAGACACGTAATTCTAAAGGAATATTATGGTTGTGAATTTGATGCCGAAGCAGGATCGGCAAGCTTTCTTTCAACATATTACGAAAATGCTTTATTTTGTAGGACATTTACTGACATAAATT